GTACCCGATCGGGCCGGGCAAAACTGCCATCGGATCGGACTGGCTCGATCAAAATTGGCCCCACTTCGGGGAGGCACCCGCCCAGGGGAGGAGGATTACCAGAGCAGCAGCAGCAGCAGCAACAACAACAACATGATTTTTTACCGCCGAGGCATCTGCACTGACAGATCATGAGCAGAGGTTCGGCCGCAGAAATCAGCGCAACACATCGCGCACCTTCCAACATGTGAACGCGCCGAGACTTTTCAAACGCATTTGACAAGACAGCCGTCTGTCAGAAAATGGAGAGACCGAGAAGAAGGAAAGGGAAGGAGGACGAGGAGGACGAGGAAAGGGGGAGGGGAGGGCAGATACGAAAAAACCCAAGTTCGTATCATTTAGCACCGTGCTCGCGTGGACATTCCCAAATGGCCTGAACAGCCGAAGCGCTAACATCACACGCGCTATAGCACGCGGGGAGGGGCGGAGGAGGGGGAGGAGAAGCCTAATATCACCAGGCCAGGACCATGAGCGACCACGAACCCTACGGAACAGAGGGCGAGGCTGATCGAGCGCACACACAGCGCACTGAAGCATATTACGATTCAGCAAGTCAGATTAAAAAAGGGGAGGACGGAGGGGAGCAAGAGGGAGAAAAACGAGGGGGAGGGCAGTCCCAACCCCGCTAGGGGACGGACAAAGAATCCTCAGCAAAGCCTTGGACCCACCTGCATAAAAAAAGGAGGGCGAAGAAGAGGAGGGCAGAGAGGAGTGAGCAACGACGACGAAAACACCGACACTAGCAAAGGAGGGCAGAGAAGTGCGAACGTTTAAGCTCGAGGCCTTTTGCGCGCAACGAGCACGAGCGATATAGCCCGTGTCGAACCGCGCATTCCTTCCTGAACGAATTCGCCGAACATGCCGTCGAAATCGGCGCGGGGGGCCCCGCCGTGAGTGCGGCACCGTGCAGCCTGTACATTGCATAGACGCTGATGGCACGCAATGCCGCCGCTGTTGCGACACCGCCGCCTTCCCGGAGGTGCTCAGGCAGAGAGCCCACACATGGACTCACACAGAGAAAATCTGCCAGACGCTCCGGGGCTGGAGGCGCTTCTAGACGTAGGTGTTTCGAGCACAGCTGGTGGAACGACGCGCACGTCGCGTAATGCTCGATGATGTCGTCGCGCCCCTGCGTCCGAAAATGCATCCACCTCGGCCCTGGAAGCGCCGAGAAATGGTTCAAGCGTTGAAAATACAACGTGAGACAGTTGCAAGCACCCGTGGAGGAGCCACAGCTGTGATGTCACGCGTGCGATTCAGAAGCCGCTCAGGCCGACGGCCAGGAAGAACAGGCAGAGACCATCGATCAAGCTTGCGACGGAGGTGGTGGAATGCATCGCTCCGACGGTCGCGCAAAAACGCCACGGCACGGGATTGCCATTCCGACTTGAGCTGCAGCGCCAGACCATCCCCGCCGAGCAGGGACGGCGAAGAGTGGCGCTGAGCGTCTTTGCGTTTCAGCTGGTTTGCTGCCGTTGCGAGCTCAACTGTGAGTGCGCACTTTGTGCGCGTTGTCCGGCCGCTTCATGGCTGCACGTAGTCTCGCCGCGCGCTCCAGGACACGCACACCACCATTATCAGCATCCTCGTGGCGAAAGACACGAGCCCAGGAGGCAACGCAGCGTGACGGCACATCGACCATCTCCGTAGGGTAGTTGAGGTCCTTCAGATGAGTCAAGCAACCTGGCGTGATCCAGCAGGCCGGACCCCGGAATAATAGAGCGCACGCCTTCTTCTCAATGTCAGCGAACTCGTCCGGGGGACCGGCCAGCTGACTTACGAAACACAGCGCCGACGCAACGAATATACCGTACGCCTGCATGTTGAGCAAGCGCCCGATGCCTAGATCACCCCAAATTCGAGCACGCTCGATATACTTACCGAATGGGCCTCTCCAAGATAGCGTGCCACAGCCGGGGCCAATAACCATGCCAAGATACTTAGATTTGCTGTCCATTGTCAGGCAGCCCCGCGCTGGCGCAAGAGCTGCGAGACGCGTTCGCAATGCAAAGGGCTGGTATTCGGCCAGCGGAACCAGAACCGTCTTCTTAATGCTGAGTGCTAGGCCCGAAACGCGCGAATACTCGGAGAAGATGTCCGCCAAGGAAGTGATATGATCTAGAAACAGAGGGGGCACCATGGCCAGGTCATCGGCGCACGCGCGGACGCACGCCCCGCCATAGGTCCAACCCATGCGCATCAGCAGGATATCGGAAGCAACGGCGAAGAGCAAAGGGGACAAAGGACAGCCTTGCCGCATTCCTCTCGTGACGTCAAAGCCATCATGTCGTGAACCACCAAGAACAATATAGCGCCAAGTATTATGGTACAATATGCGGGCACATCGAAGAAGCCAGTCCGGCCAACCTAAAGAATAAAACAACCGGTGCAACATGTCCTCCTCCACCGAAGGGAACGCTGCCGCGAAGTCGCAGAAGAAGGCCGCCGCGGTGTCGTCATCCAAGAGAGCCTCGGCCATGGCTTCATCGACGTCGACCAAGTTGGCCAACGTAGAGCGGCCCGTGATGAAACCACGCTGCGTGGAAGAAATGCGGCGCGACACCCAGGGCTCAATAAGAATGCGGACCGCGCTGGCCAGTATACGATTGTCCGCGTTCGTGACGTTCAGCGGCCGAACAGATTCTGCAGTAAAGTAGGTCGTCCCGTCCTCCGAGGTCCCCGCCGCCTTTTCGGGAAGAAAGTGGAGGAGACTGCAATTGAAATCATCGAAGACGTCGGTCATGCGCTCAGGACCACCGTCTGAAGTCATATCTACAAAGGCGTTGTGCAAGACAGGGACTGCCAATTCCGAGAGGCGCCGCCAAGCTGAAAACGGGATGCCGTGCGGGCCTGGCGCCGAGTTGTTTGAAAGCCGGATGACCAACTTGAGGCACCGCCGTCGCAGCCGTAAGTCCTCGTCAGGAAACGGGAGCCGATCCGATACTGGACGATGGGCGACGTCCTCCTCAAGCCATTTTGTCATTAGACCCTCGTCGATACCCCTGGCTTTAAAGACGGCGCCCCAATGCTTCCCGAGCTCCTCAGCCATGCGGCCGTTGTCGGTCAGGACCTCGCCCTTGCCATTCAAGATCGCGCTCACGGATCCCGATCGACCCGGCGCAAGTTTGAACAAAAGTCGTGTGTGCCTCTGCGTGCGGTGGGAAGCCTGCACCTGGTCATCGTCGTGGAGGCTTTCGTGCGTCTTTCCAAGCTCGTCGAGCGCGTGGTCACGGGCGAGCTTCATAGCATGATCCCTAACCTTCCAGAGTTTGACAGTGAGATTCCCGTGCACGTCGAAAGGATTGCTGACAAGCTCCTTCAAATGCGGGTGCCGGAGGATGCAGGAAGACACCTCGCCTAGCAGACCCCGTTCGGAGGCACGCAAGAATTTCATGGTGACTCCAAGCCGATCTTCCAAATGTATTGCCTCTGAAGTGGGGCTGGCCACCGCGTGCCGGCGGGAAGCGACCTCCTTCATAGCGACCTTGAGGAAGCAGAGGCGCTCGATGCTCGTGGAGTCGGGTTTGTCCCGGACTTTCGCGTGGTAGTTCAACGCCACCTGCCGCGGAAAATCATGATGCTGCACGGCCTGCTCTGCCATCGGCTTCTCCTCCTCCTCTAGCTTGTGCGGGGCCTGCCGAGAGAACAGCACTGCCCGATGCGCAGAGCGTTCAGGATGCCATTCCAAAGCTTTAGCCTTCATTTGCCGATCCAACTGTTCCGACGTGTGTTGGTTACAATAAATTCTGTCCAGTCGTGAACGCGCCGAAGCCGATGCATGCGTAAACTCGGGCGGATACATGTCATGCAGCTCGAAAGGTCGGCCGATGACACTCTGGAAATGTCGCTCTTCGACGGCATCCCTGCGCCCAAAAGTACGCGATGTAGCCAGAGAGCGCCTGTCTGCATCGTGCGTGACATACTTGAAACCGCCACCGAGGATCGTGAGTGTACGTGCGATGGCGCGTGCAATCCGGTGTCGTAGATGTCCCCGAAGCGCCGGCAACGTCGAGCACCTGTGGAGGAAATCGGGGTGAGCACCATGCAGATCATGAGCTTGGACAGCTCCCCCCGTGTGGAAATAGGCGACCACGATGTCCGGCCTCCCGCTCGGCCCCGCCAAAAAAAAGCTCGGCGGCGCGACCCGGCCAGAGGACGGACCAGGTCGGAGCAGCATCGGCCTCTTTTAAAAAGATCGCCTCGCACCACAATGCCGATGCCAGCTTGGGCGTGGCTTAATGGGGGGGGGTCACAAATGGGGGGGTCAGAAAAGGTCCCCTTTCGTGCCCCTTTCGGGCCCCTCCAGAGCCCCAGGGGGCTCGTTTAGGTATTTGGGTACCTTTTCGGACCACACTCGCCGCCCCCCCATTTACGATCCCCCCATTGCGCGACGCCCAACCAGCGTGTGCTGGAGTGGGGCCGGCTGACCACCATGCCAAACATCCCGGAGGAGGGCGCCAGGCCTGGTTGCCGCCGTTGGTGCCGTGCGCCTCGGTGACCATGACAGTGGGGGCGCTCTGGAGCAGCGAGTGCAAATACTGCATCTTGGACTCACGCCGGGGTGGGCACGTCGCGAAAAAGGCCTGCGCGTTCCAAGTGATGGCCGAGACGTCGCCTCGGTACTGCCCGTGTCTGCGTTCGGGAGCGGCGGAGGAGATCACTGGAAGGGAGCGCCCAGGTGGGAGGGCGGCGCCTGGCGGAAGGTCGCCCAGAGCTCGACGGAGTCGCTGTCGACGATAAATGCTGATCGGGAGATCGGAGCTCAGGAGGGTGTCTGGGGCCTCAGGGAGCAGATCGTTCGCGCTGAAGATGAGAGGGGGGATGCGAGGAAAAACGCGATCATTTGCTACGGTGAATAGTGGGCCGACGAAAACTGACGACTGGAGGAAGAACAGGGAGCGCTGGAAGAAGACGGCGCCACATGGGTAGGAAAAAGGCGGTCAGCACAGCCCGGCCCTGGCGAGGCAGGGAGGAGCCACATGACGACCTCGAGGATCCAACCCTCAGCGCCCATGCAATCGATAAAACGAATTCCAAAAATATGCCCATGGCAGAAATAGTGCCGGTGTGCTTCACGAAAGCCGGAGGCACCTAGACCCGCCTCCGCATGCCGTGTCCCAGGAGGGACCCCAGGCTGAGGACATCGTTGACGACGTCTATGGCAACGAGGTCCTGGCCCACCATGATGGTTTGACCGTGGAGGGCAGCATGTACGCGGCGGACTTCGTCGGAGCTCTGGAGGTAGGAGTCGAAGACGGCCTGGCGGAGCGTCGGTGTGCACGGAGGCGAGATGCACATATTAACCAAGCCGGGGGCCTCTGGAGTAGTCCGTTTCCGTGGTCTCGAGCCCAATGGCCGTGGAGAGATGGGTCATGAGCCGCCTGAGCACCTGGCCGCCCTCTCGTCCCAGTTCGCCTCGCACGATGACCTCTGTGATGTGGTCGAGAGTAGAATGTGGTCTGTGGCCCTTCCTCCTCGCTGCGGCCAGGGCCATCGTAGTAGCAGACGGGGACTCGATCGGGCGGCCACCGTATCGTGACGGCTTCCACTTCAACCTCGTGGCCGCCGAACGCCCATCCACAGCAAACACCTGATCAAGTACCTCCTTCCAAGTATCCGGGGCGGCATCTGAAAACAAAAGTACCTTGCTGCCGCTGACTGGAAGCATCTGCGAACAGAGAGGCCAATAGTGATGCAAACAGGTCGGGCTGTTCATCTCCAGGATCATGGCGTCCGCGGAGCTGTACAAAGACTTCAGGCCGTAGATCGTGTCATTAGGCAATGAACCCTGACGGAGGTGCCCTAACCGCAAGAGGATGTCAAGATCCGAGAAGTCCTCGGGGAAGAGCCAATCGATACAGACCCTGGTGACCTCCTCCGTACTGGCGGGGCTCCTGCGGGGCTGACGGGTAACAACGTCCCGAAGCATCAGCAAGCTGCAGCAAGAACAGCACCGCCTTTCCAGCAAACGTCATGTTTTTTTCATGGCGTCGGTCCCCAGAGGTCTGGACCCACTCCCTGGAAGCAATTTCCAATCCCGAGTCGTTATTTGACGGTGCTGGGGACCGGTAAGGGCCCCCGGAAGCCGAAAATTGTGCAAATCCTCCCGTCATGAATTTCTCATGATCCGAAATGGGTCTGGGTTCCCCGCGTCCTGGCGAACCCGGGCGCTTGCGAGCGCCACGGCATGCTTGTGAGCACTAGAGCAGGCCTGTCAGCACCACGACAGCATGCCCATGAACACCGCGGCAAGCCTGAGAGGGGGAGCCGCCCCCCCCTCCACGCGCGCGTTCGGTATACCCAGGGCGCGAACTGTTGGGGGGCAACGCACTGGGGGGGGGAGAAAGGTGCCCTCTTTGTCGGGCCCTGCTGAAGGGCCCCTTTTCTGCTGCCCTCGCTGCCCTCCCACTTGTTGCCCCCGCCTGCTCTCGCCCAACCCACGCGTATGTACGTTCGGTATACCGTTATGGGGGGGGGTCCTGAGACAGGCATGTCATCCCGAGTAGTTTTTCACAGGCATCCTGTGGTGCTGAGTCCTCGCTTTGACGAGACAGTGCCCCACGTCTCCTCCTCCTCCTCCTCCTCCTTCGTCCTCTCTCCTCTTCTCCCTCTTCCCTCCGTCATCATCGTTCCCAACAACATCCGCATCGTCATCGTCATCATCATCATCATCATCATCATCATCATCATCATCATCATCATCATCATCATCATCATAATCATCATCATCATCATCATCATCATCATCATCATCACCATCACCATCATCATCATCATCATCGTCACCATGGCCAACATCATCATCATCATCATCATCATCATCATCATCATCATCATCATCATCATCATCATCATCATCATCATCATCATCCGCATCCTCATCTTCATCATCGTCATCATCCCCAACAACATCGCCAACATCAGCAATGCGATTTTAGCGCCCAACACAGCGCTTCGTGGCCCCGAAAGAAGCTCCACCGCGAAGGTCCCCGTGGCGGAACTCGCACGCGGTTCCTGCGCCCAATGTAGGGGTTCGTGGCCCCGTAGGGAGCCACACCGAAGGTCCCAGCAGCGGAACTCGCATGCGGCTCCTGCGCCCAATGCAACGCTTCGTGGCCCAATCAGAAATTCCACCGAAGGTCGCAGTGGCGGAACTCGCATGCGGCTCCTGCGCCCAGTACAGCGTTTCGTGGCTCCGCAGGGAGCGCCGTCGAAGGTCCCAGTGGCGGAACTCGCATGCGGTTTCTGCGCCCAGTGCAGCGCTTCGTGGCTCCATAAGGAGCTCCACCAGTCCCCGTGGCGGAACTGACATGCGGTTCCTGCGCCCAATACAGCGCCTCGTGGCCCCATCAGGAACTCCACCGGGGAGGTCCCACTGACGGAACTCCCACGCGCTTCCTGCGCCCAATACACCGTTTCGTAGCCCAGTAGGGAACTCCACGGAAGGTCTCAGCGGCGGAACTCGCATGCGCTCCCTGCGCACCCAGTACAGCGCTTCGTGGAGCTCCACCGAAGGTCCCCGTGGCGGAACTCGCATGCGGCTCCTGCGCCCAGCACAGCGTTTCGTGGCCCCGTAGGGAGCTACACCGAAGGTCCCAACACCGGTACTCCCATGCGCTTCCTGCGCCCAATACAGCGCTTCGTGGCCCAATCAAGAATTCCACCGAAGGCTTCAGTTGCGGACCTCGCAGGCGGCCCCTGCGCCCGGTGCAGCGTATCGTGGCCCCGTAGGGAGCGCCGTCGAAGGCCCCAGTGGCAGAACTCGCATGCGGTTCCTGCGCCCAGTGCAGCGCTTCCTGGCTCCAGAAGGAGCTCCACCGAAGGTCCCCGTGGCGGAACTCGCACCCGCTTCCTGCGCCCAGCACAACGCTTCCCCATGGGGAGATCCATCGAAGGTCCCAGTGGCCGAACTCGCACGCGGTTCCTGCTCCCAGTACCGGCCCGCCCCATCAGGAGCTCCACGGAAGTTCCCAGTGGCGGAACTCGCGTGCGGTTCCTGCGCCCAGTGCGGTGTTTCGCGGCCCCAGAAGGAGCACACCTTCCACGCGCTCTGTGGCCCCATAGCCTGGGCGCGGGCGGTCCATCACCAGACCCTCTCTCGGTCCTGTAGACTCCCGGCCTGGGCCGTCGGCTGTCCAAGCGCCACTCCCTCGGCCGACGTCGCCCATGCGTGATCCTGGCCTGCGGCCTCCACGAGGCGGGAACGGCAAGGAGGACGACGACTCGTGGCTGGAGCTCTACGCGCTGCTGTCGCGCGACATGCGCCACGAGGACCTCATGCTCACGCAGGCGCCGCGGATCGAGTTCCTGGCAGGTCCGCCGCGGGGTTTGCGGAAGCAGCGAAAACACTTCGCGGGGCGCGCGAAGCGGTGCCAGAGGGAGGCGACGGCCCTCGCCAGGGAGCTTGGCTTCACTGCGTTTATCCGCAAGGCCTGACCAAGGGAGAGGCGCGCCCGAGCCTCGCCTTCTCTCGATGGTCTGACTGTTTGGCCTCGCGCCGCGGACGACCCGCGCGCGTCGCTGGGACACTCTCGGGGCGACCAGCGCGCGTCGCGGGAACTCCATGCTGCGTTCTACCCAGCACCTCGCTCGCTCGCCCGTCGTCGTCCTGCCCATCAACCAGAGCCTTGCCCGCAATCGGCCAGCAAGCTAGCTCTTTTTGCTCTGCGCAACGGGCGACCCGCGCGCGTCGCTGAGACCCTTTCGGGGCGATCGGCGCGCGTCGCGGGGACTCCGCGTTGCGCTGCGCCCGAAGCCTTGGGCTGCAGAGAGCGCGGGCGCAAGTGGGCAAAAACGAGGGAAGGACAATCTTGGACGGTCTAGCTTTTCTCCCCCATCGAAAATATCACGGCCAAGGGGAGCCACGCCGAAGACCCTATGGGGAGCTCCACCGAAGGCCCCAGTGGCAGCGCCCTCGTGCCGCCGCAAGTCCACTTTGGCACATCCCTTACACGATTCGTGCACCCATAAGGGGCTCCACCGAAGACGAGATTCACAGATGCGGCACTCGTAGCTGCATAGGAGTGGGTCCTTCGCCAAGCTAATTTAGAAGCCCCACGGCTCGGTAAGTGCCACAGGCCGAAAACTGTCCAAAAACTGTCCGTCGCAATATTTTCGGGCCAGAAGATGATCGTTTTGGGCCTCCTGGGGCGTCCCCGTCACCAAGGACAGACTCGCCCCGAGATGCTGGCCAGGGCGCACCTTGGGATAGGTCTTGGGGGGGAGGTTGAGGAGGGCCGAGGCTTACGACGTCGTGACTTCTCGATCCCGAATTGTTTTGGCTCAAACCTGAGGCCTCCAAGGGCCTACCTGGTGAAATCAAGAGAAGGGCTGCGATACAAAAGAGACGTCCACGGTGCAAGCGGCGAAACCAAATAGGTGTCGGAGGTCTCGGATACATTCGCTTCGGGAAACTATAGTATAGTCACCCGATGTCGCGCTCTCGCGCTGTGCGAGGCGCAATTGTCTTCGCGCTCTCGCGCGGCCCTCTGAAAAAAAAAACAATGCCCATGCCGCGAAACGCCGCAGCGCGACTGCATTTGCGTCGGGGCTGACTGGGCAACACTCAACCCAGAAATGGATACAGTGAGGCGCCAACACACCTCCCGCCCGTGCTCTGGGCGACATGAGCCGCGGCAACGGCATCAATCAATTGAGATACGCCCTCTATTCAGACTCGAGCCAAGCATGTAATAAACCTTCCTCCATGCTCTCCACCCCTCGAGAATGTTACGTAAGGTGGCCGTGGGACCCCTCTCGATGTGCCTCTTACAACATAGCATTGTCTAACTCATCCTCATCCCCACTGAGTCATCAGCCTCACTAGCCCACCCTCCCAGGTGGGTAGTAGGCCCCGCGAGACCTGAGTGAGAAGCAAGATATTCCCATCTAGGTGGGCAATTCGGCCAGTGGGGCTAAGGCCACGCCTGTTGGGATAGGATCGATTAATCGATGTTCAACCCAGAAGCACCCAGAAGAATTGGGTTTGAGTTCAAGGGGGGGGGGCGATAGCAAGGGGGGGAAGACAGGTGGCCTTTTCGGGCCCTTCCAGGCCCCCCTTGTCGGGGAACCAAAGGGACCCTTTTCTGCGGCCCTCGCGGCCACCCCCCACTCATCGCCCCCAAACTGTCGCTGACGAGCCGCCCGCACTGGCTGGGGTGGGAGAGGGGTGGCGGCGCCATGTGGTGGTAGAAACCGTACACGTTGTGCACATCGCGGTGCTCCACGCCGTAGTCCTCCGTGTGGCACCTGTGCAGGTTGTCCTTCCGAGGAGGGCCAGGAAGAGTTCCCCTACAGGCGGATCTGGGGCGACAAATAGTAAACAACACCAAACATGCCCAACAAGTATGTACTCAAAAATCGTCCCAGACTATGCTTTGACAATTTTTGAATATTCCTCCTGTGGAGGGACAGGGACGACTTCAAGGAAGAGGAGGGATGGCTTCAAAAACACTCAAAAGATCGTCCTTGACTAAGGTTTGGCTATTTTTTAATCTCCCCCTGTAGAGGGACAGGCCCGACTGAAAGGAAGAGGAGGGAGAGCCTGAAGGAGGCGGGGCGAGGAGGGGCGAGGGGGGGGGACTCGCCGTCGCTCGGACGTCCGAGCCCCGTGCACTGTGGCCTCGTGCGCGCTCTCTCTGCAGGATGACCCACGAAGCTCCTCGATGATCTTCGCCGAGAAGACCATACCCACGTCCGAGCGAGGCCAAGGCATCATCATCATCATCATCATCATCATCATCATCATCAGCATCAGCTTCAGCATCAGCATCATCATCATCATCAACAACATCACTATCACCATCACCATCACAATCACCATCACCATCACCATCACCATCACCATCACCATCACCATCACCATCACCATCACCATCACCATCAACATCACCATCACCACCACCACCATCATCACCACCACCATCATCATCATCATCATCATCATCATCATCATCATCATCATCATCGTCACCATCATCGTCACCATCATCATCATCACCAACACCATCACCATCATCATCAGCATCAGCATCAGCATCATCATCAGCATCATCAACATCATCAGCATCATCAACATCATCAACATCAACATCAACATCAACATCAACGCCAACATCATCATCATCATCATCATCATCAACATCATCATCATCATCATCATCATCATCATCCTCATCCTCATCATCATCATCATCATCATCATCATCATCATCATCATCATCATCATCATCATCATCCGGGGCGCCCCGGATCGGCGGCAATTGCCGGAGGCCAACACGATACCCACGTCCGAACGAGGCCAAGGGCAGGAGGGAGGGCGGACTAGAAGGCGGGGAGGACTCGGAGGAGGGAGGTCTTGGGGGACTCGGAGGAGAAACGAGGACCTGAGGGAGAGCGCCTCGTCCACATCTGGGGGAACAAAAAGTGGCATAAACATACAAACTCGGCGGTCCGCGCGGATTTCTCGGATCGGCGCTGGGCCCTCCTGGCGGCACCAGGGGCGCCGCCCCTGGCGCGCTCCGCGCGCCGGGGAGGGGGGTCCAGCACCGATCCGAGAAATCCGAGCGGACCTCCGAGTTGTTAATGCTTATGCCACTTTTTGTTCCCCTAACCTCACCGCGCGCAAGCGCTCGCCAGCACGCGCGCGGGTGGGCACTGCCAAAGGCCGAGGCTCAATCCAAGTCTCTCGAATCGCTGGCTTCGGGAAGGCCCGCAAACTGTTCCCACAAGGGCACGATGAGCTTCTTGAACTGGCAGTCGTACTGCCGCAGCTCCTTCTTGCTTTCCATGAAGCCTCGACTGTCAGCCCCCACGTCCGAGAGGGCTACCTCGGCAGCAATACGTGGCCGCCGCTTTTGATCCTCCTGTTGATGCTGCGCGTCCGACGCGGATAGGCCGCCGAACAAATAGTTGAATTTGGCGCGCAGATCCTCCATGACCGAGCGAAGAACATGAATGCAATGCCGAAGAAGCATGTCAAGAAGGCAACGGAAACAGTCTGCCCGTCAGGCCCCATGGGGTGAAGACGTGTCGCACAGCGACGTTTCTGCAACTCTGTTATTTTTGGCCTGCGCGGCCAGGTACCTGACGCGAGCCAATACAGCACGTGAGATCTTCGTCCAACTTAGAGGGATTGAAGTGCAAGCTGATCTCTGTGGACTTGACGGCCTTCAACTGAGCGACGATCAAAAAAGGGTCTTACGCGAGATGACATGACGATCTTACGCGGCGGCTTACGCGGGCCGCCAATGCGGCACGCCACATGGGAGACGAAGGCGCTTACGCGCGACCTTACGCGGGCAGCTTACGCGCCAATGTCGGTGAAGACGACCCCTTTTTGTTGCGCCGCTCAACTGGTCCCGGAAGTGCACAAACTTCTCTGGATGCGACCGTCGCCCTGTCTGGGGCGATCCCGCGGAGGCCGGCTCGGTCCTAGCAGGCACGTGGGCCTGGGCGGCCACGGGCAGGGGATGATCGCGAGCGAAGCTGGCCAGTTGGAACCGCTCGTTTGTTCTGGACGGGTGGTTATTATGGGCTTCTTGTGCCTGCACTCCGTCTTTCCCTTTTGAGTTTCCCAGCACCTGCACCAGCGGGGCCACTGCATACTCAGAACATGACTGCTCGGCGGATGTAAGGTCAAAGATTTGCTGAACACGACCTCGTTTGCCACCGTTGGTGGCCGCCCTCCACATGTGTTTGATTTGCTCTTCTCCGTCTGCCCATGGCTGGCGCGGCTTGTTTCCAGAGCCACGAACAAGAAGACCACACATCCGCTTCTTACAGCAAGAGCAGCGGGGGTCCTACGCTGAACGAAACATCCATTCTCGATGTGCGCTGTAACCCATGGTTTTGCGCACGCACATCAAATACCCCGCGATAAACAGACACGTGCCACCTGTTACTGTCTGACATCGGGTCGCCGACATGCCGGCCCACGCCAACCGGGTATATGAATCATGTGATGCACTTGGTGTCGCTTGACCCCAACACAGTATCGGTGCAAATTGGAACCGCATGTTCGCGTCGCGAGCGCTTTGTTTGACACCGTGCTGGGATCCGCTGTGAAGGTTGCGCAGGGGGACCTGCGAAATATGTGTGGATACATAGGCGCATGCTTGGTACCCCTCGATATTTTGAGGGGACACGCGGCGGAAACGGGGGGGGGAGAGCTAGGACAGGAGGATCGGGGAGGAGGAGGAGGAGGAGGAGGAGGAGGAGGAGGAGGAGGAGGAGGGGGAGGCGTATTGGGGCGAATTGGAAAATGCAAGAAGCTCCCTCGCGGCCAGCGAAAGCCTGATGCTTAGATCAAGCCTGAAAAATGGCCCTCCCTCTGGGACTGCGCCTCGCGGGCCGCTCTGCTCCGCGTCCAGCGGCACCAGTGCATCGCCTCCCGAGGATCCGAAAAGCTGCGCAACGCAGCACCCCTATGCATGTCAAGCGGCTCTGGGATCTCCAATCCATACCTGCCCAAAGCCGGGCCAGAACCACAACGCCCTCGTGACCACGGCTGGGCTCCCCTGCAAGCCCTGACCTGGGTCAGGCCGGGCATGTCCTCCTCCTACAGACGGCTGTTGGACGAAGACTGAAACGAATAGCCAACAAGTGTTCAGAAATAGTCGAGCAGTAATCGAAAACTCGTCCCCATACTATTTCTTTGATTTGTTTGAACATCTCTCCTGCAGGGGGACATGCCCGACTTAAACCCGGCCGCGACCCGAGACGGGCCGAAGCCGGCAGCGCCCGGAGCGTGCTCCCCCCGGCGTCGAGCCCCTCCTCCTCCTCCTCCTCCTCCTCCTCCTCCTCCTCCTCCTCCCCTCCCCCCCCCTCCCCCTCCCCCTCCCCCCTCCCCCTCCCCCTCCCCCTCCCCCTCCCCCTCCCCCCCCTCCCCCTCCCCCTCCTCCTCCTCCCTCCTCCCCCCTCCTCCTCCTCCTCCTCCTCCTCCTCCTCCTCCTCCTCCCCCTCCTCAAGACTCAAGACTCAAGACCCATGGAATCCACATCATTACAAAAAATTAGACAGGTATCCGACATGGACTCCTATCAGAAATCACTCGGGATTCTGGGAAGGTTAGCTACGCAACCGACGCAAACGCCCCTTCTTTCCCTTGCCCTTAGCCTGGCTCCTATTCCTGCTCCTCCCTTCCTCGTCGTCCTCCTCCTTCTCCCCCTGCTCCTCCCTTCCTCGTCCTCCCTCCCCCTTCCCCGAGCAGTGGCCCCTGCGTCGACCCTGGGAGTAGCTGGCCGCGAAGGCTTCCCGCGCGGTGAGGAGGCCCACGGCCGAAGCGCCCAGAGCCTGGAGATCCACCCGCTCCCTCTGCAACTGGGTCGGGCGTGTCCTCCTACAGGATACGGCCGGACCTAAGGAACGAGAGCTGCGAAGTCCGAAGGAACGGCCGGGCCCCTTTTCTAGCGGCCCTCATCGACAAAACGAACCCGCGCGTCCCAAATCTCAGGGGACACCAGGGGGGCTCGCCGCCAAAAAGGTAGCGGAACGCGTACAAACCAAAGGAACGACCGAGCCCCATTCTGAAACGTAAGTGTTCCTTATTCGAGCCGGACCCTGTACAGGCGGAGCTTGGCGAAAGATAAGACATAGCCAAAAAAAAGAATCAAGCATGGTCAAAACACATCGTCCCCAGACCATTCTTTCTGTGCTGGTTTTGAGCAGTCCTCCTGTTGGAGGGACACCCGATGTAACTCTGCAGCAGGGGGCCCGACCACAAGAAGCCTCCCACGAGAAACCCCGCCCTGAGGACACCAGGGCGTCCACCGACTTTCTGGTGGGGGTGGGACGGCGCGCCTCCCGCCGCAGAAAACCGCCGACGCCCAAGAAACCCAGGGCACCCCCCGGAGGCAAGCAGGGCGTCTCTCGCCATGGGCCTCCCCTGGCATACCACGACATGCACAGAGTGGATGGCCCCGCAGGTCGGGGGCAACAGAAGGGGGGGGATAGCAAAGGGCAGGGTAGAGAATCAGCTCACGTAGCCGATTTTCCCGGCGCCTCCCGGCGCCGGGAGGCGCCCGTGTATCGAGGAATGGGCCCGGCGGCGGCGCCGAAACCAGCTGCGTGCAGCAGATTTCGTACCCCCCCCTTTCCCCATTTCCCCACCTTTCGTTCGGCCCGGGCAGGGCTGCATCAGCAGCCCAAGCTCGGTCAAAGGACAGCGGCCGCCGGGGGCTCACGCCGCCCGGGGTCCCTGTCCATACATTTGTACACGAACCGGAGCCGCAAAAGGCCCCCACCCGCGGGCGCCGCGAATGCGTCGCGAAAGGGGCCCGCAGGTGCAGGCGAAGGCCCACGGCTCGGAGAGGAGGGGGAGAAGGAGGAGGAGGAGGGGGAGGAGGAGGAGGAGGAGGAGGAGGAGGAGGAGGAGGGGAGGAGAGAGGATGAGGAGGAGGAGGAGAGGAGGAGGAGGAAGAGGAGAGAGAGAGAGTGAGGAGGGAGGGGAGAGGATGAGGTAGGAGTAGAGAGTAGGAGGAGGAGGAGGAGGAGGAGGAGAGGAGGATGGAAGAGGAGGAGTAGAGAGGAGGAGGAGGAGGGAGGGAGAGGAGGAGGAGGAGGGCAGAGGAGGAGGGGGGGGGAGTGGGCGGAGGAGGAGGAGGAGGAAGGAGGGGAGGAGGAGGAGGAGGAGGAGGGAGGAGGGCGGAGGGGAGGAGAGGAGGAGGGGAGGAGGAGGAACTGGAGGAGGAGCAGCAGGAGGAGGAGGAGGAGAAGGTTTGGGCTCCAAAGCCTGGTGACCACCGAGACACCTCAGATTGGTGTGGTCGCCAGGTGCAGCCTGAACCTCAGGCGTGCTCTCGGAGCCGCGCGCCTGGCTTCTTTTCTGTATCGAACCCTCTTCTCCACACATTTCGTTGAAGACGGCAGGTTGCCGTGAGAAGCCTGAACCTGCCTGGCACCGCAGACCGACAGAGACGAGGCATAGCCAGGCTGCTCGTCAGACATTCTACTTCCAAAAAGTTACTGAAGGCGCACCACTCGTCCAACGCCGTCCAGAAGATGGCGACTCGCTCAGCAGGCCCGTTGCCAGGACGCACGTGGAACTGCGCCAATTGCTTCCGAGTTGTGAAAGGCCATCATTGGAAGTGCTTGTGCGGGCTACACTATGATAATAACTTCAATCGCGGCACAGGGCACCAGTGGCCAGTTCAGCCTTCTCGTCAGCACGCTCGCCAGCCACGCAAGCCCAGCCAGCCGCGAAGGGACAAGGCCCTCCAGCTACAGCAGCCCCAGAGGTCCAAGGCCCTCCGCACCTTCCTGGCGCGCATCGTCCCCATCACGCGCGCACAGATGGGCAGCCCCGTCCAGCAGCCATGGGCCACCGTATGGGAGGAGCCGCCGACCGACCCTGCTCAGGTCAAGGATTACAAGAGCCGCATCTACAAGAAGATGGATGCGCTTGGGCAGCTTGCACTGGTCGCCAGGGATGCGGGCAAAGGCATTGATTCTCTAGTTGCGGAGATTTCCTGCATGAAGCTCATGGCCCAGAGTACGGACAAAGCCAGCGTCCAACTCGGCAAGCTCAAGACGATGCGCGACACGGCCTGCGACAAGCTAAAGACCGTCCACGAGCAGAGACACCGCCTGGCCGCGGAGGAGCAGGTCATCCAGCACGAGCTTGAGATGATCAGCAACTCCATCCAGGAGGTCAAGGAGCTCGAGATCTACGAGCGCGAAGCCGAGGACGACGGGGGCGATGACATGGAGTGGATGGGCGCTGGCCTGCCCGAGGGCGCCTGGCCCGAGCAGGGCCTGCCGCAGGCCGCGGCATTCGGCGCCCCGCCTGGCGCCTCGTCAGGCACCGCGGCCTTCGCAGCCCCGCCGCCGCCGCCGCCCCAGGCAGCTGGGTCGATGCCCCCCCCCCCCCCCCCCCCGCAGCCGCTGCCGCCTAGGCCCATGGGCCAGCCGCACATGCAGCCAGCGAAGTCCGACCCCCTGGTCCGCCCTGTCCCGCCGCCGCCGCCACCGCAGCAGCAGAACCAGCCCGACCCCTTCCAGATGCAGGTGCTGGCCATGATGCATGCTTTTCAGTCACAGATGATATACATGGCCCAGAAGCAGGATGC